AGGTTTAATTTGAGGGTATGTACATCCAAATTGGAGGAGGAGTTTAGGAATTACAGCTCTTAAGAGTAGCCACCTCCTCCCCTTTTTCAAGGAACCAAAAATAATTGGACAATTGAATCCAAAGCGGTTTCATGAAGGTATGCCCCCTCCCACTACTTGTAAAAGCAATCCAGCAGCTAGTTAGCTGCTTGGATTGCCATTACAAGAAAGCAGACCACTGGCTCTAAAAAAACGATGCCAGGATAATGCCTTCAATCCCGGTATAACCACTTCAAGTCCAGCAACTTACCGGTACGTCGCTGCTTGTCAACTGGTAAATCTCTATGAGCCTTTCAGTAATTCCATGTAGAAGAGGCTACTCTGAACCTTTTTGGCAGTGTGAAGTTTTGGACTGGCGTTTTGCACAAGTCTGCATGGATGCATTTGCTTTTATTTTCGGAGTTAAAAGTTTGCTGACCTCTGGTCTGTGTGCTGCCCGTCACTCCAGCAGTACTCATCATGCCTCTCCCCACTGAATGAATGGCTATCATCTTCCTAACTCTTTCATTGCTTGGGCAGATATCAGGTTTCCGGGCCTCTCCTACTTGTGGAATGAATATCAGATTTCCAACCACATCTATGACGAACATAATGACTGCAGCTCAAGTATGTGTCACACGGCACCACAAGAGTGTAGAAGTGGCTCAATAAGCGGTTAGATGGGCAGCTCTAGCAACTGCGTGCCATGTCACATTTCTGAACGGGACATCACACAGGGCGGGTGCCAATTTGCATAAAAATGCAGAATCTGCTACAAGCTACTTGGGTAGATATACAGTATACTCTCCGTCCCATAAGGAAACTTATTTTTTAATACACGGACATTAAAGCAGTATTACACCCAAAAGAAAACATTATATGGCAGCTTACTAATTCTTAGATGTGATGGCTGCATTTGTTTTCTTTTTAGGCTTTCTTCTATCTTCATCTGGTGCTCTAGCCAGCAAGTGTTTTTCAAAAGCACAAGCTCTCCAGCAGAATGTAGCAGTTTACATGGATGGGACAAACCATTTAACACTGGCAGGGGTGTTTATAATGCGCAGTCATTATTTATTCATGTAAGGTTAGAAAAAAAAATAAAAAAAAAAGCTTGCTGTAACGGATTATAAAGTCTGAGCCGGACTTTGGCTTCAATTTGTTAGTATAGTTAAATCTGCTAATACATTTAACACTACTCCCTTTCCCCCCAGACTGACAATGCTGCTGTCTGCTGTGCCTCCTGTATTGCTTCAGCCAGAGTGGTGTCTCACTAATACTGGAGGTGTGTTACTGGCTAGATCAAGCCAATCAAAAGAAAACTAACGTAGCCACCACATCTAAAGGATTGCCAAGCTGCAATATAATATATTTTTAGTTTTGGGTTTAATACCACTTTAACACATGTTTACAAGCTATAAATGTCATGAGAATCGTAAAGACAGAGCTGCTGCTGGGAGGACATGAACAACCCTAATCAGAGTCACATGTCCACAATGGGTGGGTTAACTGTTTGTTTTGTCTAGGGGTGAACACAGAACCTATACTCACCCAATCCTGCAATCCTCTGCAAAACAGCGCTCCCCCACTTCCAGCGGTGGACTGTTCTTGCCATCCTCATGTCCAGAGCAGGTCAATGGGCATGATGACGTCAGAAACAGGTCCACCGAACTAGACTAATAGACCACCGGGAGAGGGGTCAAGAGTGGTAGGGACCAGTCCTGTGCTCTTCTACCCCCTAGACAAAAAAAATAAGCAGTTAACCCATGATGCAGTGCAGGCACAGTCCCACTGCAAGGGAAAAATAATTCCCAGACTTCTGCTTCAAAGTGGACCTTCATCCTCTTTTCTCCCGTTTCATGAACACACTTTAGAAAACTTCTTTATTCTCTCAAAGATCTGTTGTTCTGGTTCAGGCCCCATCTTCTGGTTTTCGCACCTAGGATGTTGTCGCCCTCTTTTACTGAAGCCTCCTGGGATACTCTGGTCTGCCAGCCAAGGAGACTTTGGGGGCAATGCCCACACACATGCGCAGAGGTGCATCATCAGGGGGCTGGGTGCAAGAAAACCAGAAGAGAAAGCAGGTACTGTGATGACAGTATTGAAGATGGGGGCATGGGACCTGGAGAGGCAGGTGACACCAGACCAACAGCCAAAGTAAAAGAAGGAAGAAAGGGGAAAAAAAAAAAAAAAAAAAAAAAAAAAACTTCAAGGGGGTGAAGTCCCTTTTAAAAAACAGAATTTTCTTTGGGCCCATATTACCAGAAGTTTGCGGTTTTGTTATTTGATTTGCTACAAATTCATAACCTGCCAGATTTTTTTTTTTTTTTTTTTAAACGTGCCATTGTACATGAAATGTACACAACACACACTCCATTTATTTGTACATTGAGTCTGAGATACCAATTTAGGCCCTGCTCCACCTTTTCTGCATCTGGCCTGCATTATTTACAGCAGGGGATGAGCAATCCCAAACTGTATATAAACTATGCAAAGCATGTGCAGGGAGGTCTAGCTGTACATGGGGGGGGGGGGGGGGGACGACGACAAAGGAATGAATGTAGTAATCACAGACTGAAGGCCTCCTAGAAGAACGGCCAGTCAATCACTGCTCTCCAAGCCTGCTGTCAGCTGTACAGAGCTGAGCGGCTACTTATAGGACATGAATGGAGGTTTCACTTCAGCTTTTTCTGGAGGAAACTGCCATTTCAGACCCAGGGAGAGCACGTGGTGAACCCATTACCTTGTTAACGGTCAGCAAAGAAAATATTTAAAATGAGTTTAGGGCAAGGAGGAGTAGAAATTGGATTTAGGACACAGAAGTCGCACAGGCATTGGGGTGGTAGGGGGATCAGTGTGAATTAAAGGAGACTTTTGGCTGTATTTCTCCTGTGGATCACGAGTGCAGTTCGTTCTGCAGTCCTCTGACCCCTTTTCAGCTGACAACGGGCTGAAGCCTGCTGTTGGCTGACATCACTCATACTGGGGAAAGAGCCTGACTAACGACTACTGTGCTATAGCTGAAGGACGGCTACAACGTGGTTGTGTAGTTCTGGGAGGACGTCCAGAACTCGCCCCCCAGTACCGCCGGTGATCGTTGTGTCCTACAGACACAACTGATCACGTGATATGGTAAACAGCCAATCACAGTGGCCTTTTACCACATGATCAGCTGTGTCCAATGACACAGCAGATCGTTGGGTAAATACAGTTGCTGATTATCAGTTGCACTTTCCTCGCGCTGTCAAAGCATGAGGAAAGTACTGCTTATAACCAGCAATGGTCAGAGAAGTGCTTGGCACTGATTATCAGTACCCAGCAGGGCCACCCACCTGTGCCCAGCAGGGCCGCCTATCCGCGCCGCCTCATCAGGGGCGCCTATCCGCGCCGCCCCATCAGGGCCGCCTATCCGCGCCGCCCCATCAGGGCCGCCTATCCGCGCCGCCCCATCAGGGCAGCCTATCCGCGCCGCCCCATCAGGGCAGCCTATCCGCGCCGCCCCATCAGGGCAGCCTATCCGCGCCGCCCCATCAGGGCAGCCTATCCGCGCCGCCCCATCAGGGCAGCCTATCCGCGCCGCCCCATCAGGGCAGCCTATCCGCGCCGCCCCATCAGGGCAGCCTATCCGCGCCGCCCCATCAGGGCAGCCTATCCGCGCCGCCCCATCAGGGCAGCCTATCCGCGCCGCCCCATCAGGGCAGCCTATCCGCGCCACCCATCAGGGCTGCCTATCAGTGCAGTCTCATCAACACACATCAGTGAAAGAGAAAAATCACCTGTTTGCTAAATTTTACAATCGAAACAAGGAAAAACGTTTTTTTTTTTTTTTTTCCAATTTTTTGCTCTTTTTTTGTTTATAGCGTAAAAAAATTAAAAAAAAAACACCCAGCGGCAAGTAAATACCACCAAAAAGAAAGCTCTATTTGTGTGAAAAAAAATGATAAAAATTTCATATGTGTTGTACGATCGCGCAATTGTTATTCAAAGTGCGGCAGCATTGAAAGCTCAAAATTGGCCTGGGCAGTAAGGGGGTATAAGTGCCCGGTAGGCGAGGGGTTAAAGTGGGGATCCACCCTAGAGTCTGGAGGGGCACCGGGTTCAGCCTCTCAGCGAGCCACTGAGACCCTGATCCAGCCACCCCCCCTCTACAGCCATTGCTCCAGTGCAGACAGCGGTAACCAACAGTCACTACTCTCTGCTCAGCACGAGAACTCAATGATCAGTGGTCATGTGATCGCTGAGTTCTCACACTTAGAGCTGGCGGGGGGGACTGATGCTGCATCCACCTAAGTAAGTATAGTTTGGGGGAAAAAACAAACAAACAAACAAACCCCATACTTCTCTTAACTTCATTACAATGTCCAACAGATAATCACTGCAGGGAGGCTGAAGTTCTTGTGCTGAGAGAGCTCCCAGCACACAAGGACTGGGCTGACAAAGACAGCTCTGGGTCCAGGTCAAAGATCCTTTGCCGGTGGGACCGGCTTCCGATCATGTGACCACTGTGGCAGTTTGCCATTGGCTCTCAATGGGGAAGGGGGGGTTCGCCCTCTGTGTCTTATAGATATTTAGTATATTCAGGAGGTGGTCAGCAATGACATTCTACTCATTTTTCTCATACTGTATAAATATCAAAACACTAGGTCGTAGATGTCATACTGGTGGTCCTCCAGCTGTTGCCAAACTACAAGTCCCATGAGGCATTGCAAGATTGACAGTTATTCTCCCAAAGGCAGAGGCGAAACTACAAGTCCCATCATGCCTCTGCCTTTGGGAGTCATGCTTGTAACAGTCAATCTTGCAATGCCTCATGGGACTTGTAGTTTGGCAACAGCTGGAAGGCCACCAGTTTGACACCCCTGCTCTAGGTGATAGAGAAACTGGTTTACGTTCACGATTTCAGATCTGAAATATGAAAAACTGGAACAGTTTTGTCGATTGGCCCCGCTGAGTCATCAGTTTCAGACCATAAGGTCCAGACTAACCTTCAGCTCCGTCCTCTCCATCTCCCAGGCTGCCTTTGCTCTTGCAAACTGCTGCTGAAGTTCGTTCATTCCTCTCCTTTCTTCCTGTAACTCGTTACAAAGGTCTTTGAGAATTCTCTTAACGTCAGTAAGGGATTTGATGGACTCGATGGTCTGCAAGGTGTAAAAAGAAGACGAGAGGATAAAAGGCATAAACAACAATCTACGCGTCTGAGATGGACATTACAAACCTCCACCACAACATAGCCTATATTTTTGGGAGTCTGGTGTTAACGCCTCACCAAATAAACACATAACAGATTTTAAAATCAACGTGACAGGTGCACTTTAACCACCGGAAGATTAACCCCCCCCCCCTTCCTGACCAGGCCATTTTTGGCGATACGGAGCTGCGTCAAGTCAAGTGCACGGTCATGCAACGATGTACATAAATGCGAGTTTTCATTTTTTTGCGCTATGAAACAAATATATATATATATATATATATATATATATATATATATATATATATAATATAAATTTGACTTTTTGCTGTACAACATATCCAATAAAAAAAAGAATTCTTCATCAATTTAGGCTAAAATGTAATCTGAAGATTTTAACAAAATATATTTTTAAAAACATCATTTTTTTAAAAATATATCCTTCAGATTTTTTTTTTAACTTATAAAAAAAAAGTCATTATCATATTTTTTTAAAATATATTTGCAAATGCATTCCAAAAATGTAGAATTGTATTTTTTAAAGATATACAGTATATTTGAAAATGTATTTTTTAAAACTTTTTCATATATTTTGTAATAAAAACGCATTTCAACATGGTTAGGGTGTAATTAATATTTTTTTCAAAATTTTCAGGTTTTTATTGGTTCATAGTGCAATAAATGAAAACTTGCAGAGGAGATCAAATACCACCAAAAGAAAGCTCTACTTTTTTTTTTACTTCCTCTGGATCAACTGTGGGTGTAGGATTACAATATATATATATATATATATATATATATATATAAATAATATGGCCAAAACTGTAGAATTTCAATATATTTGGGAAGAATATTTTTAAAATACATTTTAAATATATTTTTCTTCCATATGGGATGCCAGAACACACCAGTCAGCGCACGCAGCCATTGGCTATCAACACTGATCAGATGCTGGTTTTCCAGCATGCCCGTTCAGCTACCTTGTGTTGAACTGCCGGCTGTATACACAAGCCGGTTTCTCTTGAACTGGCCAGTACCAGCCATTATTTGTCCCTTGTGTACGGGTCCTAAGAGGTTATTTCCACAAGACCATACAAAAGGGCAACCTGCGCCTGTCAGAACCATAATTTTTGGCCACTAGATTTCTTTTTTTTTTTTCCTCTTGGTGTATTGAAATTTAACCAGTTGCAAGATAAAATAAACAATAAACAACAATTACATGTCAAAACATAACCTAAGTAATGGGAACAGAAACCTATTCTAGCAGGTAAAACCTGAACAAAACAGAAGTCTTTTTTTCCCATAATATTGAACAATGCATCATAAGTAATGAGGATAATTCATCACTTTCAGGTTTTAAATAAACATGAAGAAATGTTTGACATTCACCGTGTTCTGCGGCCAACTTTCTCCGTCGCAGGCTTTGTACTCCGAACACGGAAGGTTTAACTCCTCCTCCTCTATTAGCATGTAGAGTTCCTTCACACTGTTTACCTAATAAAAAAGATGTAATACATTCGTTGTGAATACAGCTTTAAACAGTGCTACTGCGAGGTATTACGGCACGCTATTTTATTTATACAAATCAATGAAAAACGGAATAAAAATTTTACGAATGCAAAAAAGCTAAAAAAAAAAAAAAAAACTTCAAAAATTGTTATTCAGTACATTTCTGCAATACATGTACATGTTCCCATGTTGGGTCCATAAAAACGTGCTGCAAGTACAGAAAAGAATACCCGTTAATCTGCAAGAAATCCAGTGAGGCCCAAATTTCTTGTACTGAGCCGACAACACACTGCTTTTGCTGCACTGAAATCCCAGCAGTGTTTCAGGGCCCAGTGGCAGCAAAATACACCTTCCTCTGTGGAGACAAAAACACTTGCACCCGGCCCTGTCTGTACTACAAATAAAAAAAAAAAAAAAAAAAAAAAAAAAAAAAGTTTGTTTTTTTGTGTGTGTTTGGATGTGTTCCAGCTCATTTCTGTGCAGAAATTATTGCAGCGGTGACTGACATTTTCTTTCATGCGAAACCTCAAAGTATGGTGTACCGGGTCCATATGAGTATCGGGAAACCGCTTTGCATGCATTTTTCATGATTATTATTATACAAGATTTATATGGCGCCAACGGTTTGCTCAGAGCTGTACATTATAGTGAGAGACAATACAGTAACAATACAGTTCAATACAAGAGGGATTTGAGGGCCCTGCTCCTTGGAGCTTACAATCTAGGAGGGAGGGGTGAATGGTACAGTAGGTAGTCACTGTGGGGGATGGAGTGGTTGGAAGACTAGAGGATTCCAGAATTAGCAAAGGGCGTGATAGGCTTCCCTGAAGAGAAATGTTTTCAGTGATTGCCGAAAGGCAAGTAGAGTAGGTGATAATCTGATAGATTGGGGTAGGGAGTTCCAGAGGATGGGTGATGCCCTGGAGAAGTCTTGGAGACTAGCATGGGAGGAGGAGATTAGAGAGTAAGAGGTCTTGCGGGGATAGGAGTGTACGGTTTGGGTGATATTTAGAGATAAGATCGGTTATGTAAATTGTGGATGGCTTTATATGTCATTGTTAGAGTTTCGAATTTTATCCGTTGGGCAACTGGGAGCCAGTACAGGGATTGGCAGAGAGGGGTGGAGGACTCCGAATGGAGGCCAGTGGAGGGATTGGCAGAGAGGGGTGGAGGACACCGAGTTGAGGTCAGTGGAGGGATTGGCAGAGAGGGGTGGAGGGCACCGAGTGGAGGTCAGTGGAGGGATTGGCAGAGAGGTCAATGGAGGGATTGGCAGAGAGAGGGGTGGCAGATACAGAACGGTTAGTGAGGTGGATGAGTCTGGCCGCAGCATTCATGATAGACTGAAGAGGGGATAGCCTGCGATGAGGTCGGCCAATGAGGAGGGAGTTACAATAGTCGAGGCGAGATATAACAAGGGAGTGAATGAGTTGCTTAGTGGTTTCCGAGGTTAGGAACGGGCGTATCTTGGAGATGTTGCGGAGGTGAAGTCTACACGATTTTGTCAGCGATTGGACCTGGAAGGACAAATTGGAGTCTAGGATTACACCTAGTACCCTGGCGTTAGGGGATGGACTGGGGATGATGAAAAAAGGCTCTGGACAGCATCTGGAAATGGAAGAGTTAAAAAAAATTTCCAAACGCAAACACTTTTAAATGCAGTTAGCTGCGTTTACAAGCTTTTGAAATGTTGATATAATCTACTCCTGAATGCAAGTTTGGTGCGTTCAAAAAACTGACTGTAAACTCAACTGCCTGTAAAGGACGATGTGTACATGGACACATAGGAGAACATTAGGGAGAGTTCAGGGGCTGCTGGAAAGCGCAGAAAAGCTCCTAAACGTGCGTTTATCATCTGCAGTGTACATGAGCCCTAAACATGAAGGGCATCTCACCATTCTCCATTTGAAACACATGCTGCCATTCTACGGCTGACATTCCCCGATTCCTGTCTGCACAGGACTGGCCTCAACTTGTTCTTTTGTCTAATTAGTTGCAGACAATATGGTGGATTTTAGATTTCTTTTCTGCAAACATCCACCGCTAATCAGAACATTGCGATGCTGCAGAGGTACCGCGACAACTCCAATTAAGAACAACATATTGTAAAGACGCAAATACGACCATCTGCTGACAGTTTTGACTGGGACTCCCGCGACTACAATGCAGACTTCAGATCTCATTATTTACACATCCTAATCTTTTCCAGCAAAACAAAAACTTTAAAAATGATGTCCTGAAGGCTGTACATGTTTTCCGTTTGCTAAAATCAGACGCAGCATTCAGCGTGTCCCAAAACTGACCTACTTCTAGAACACGAGATGGGAGGATGTCGTGGAATCTTTTTTCCTCCAAAGAGGAAGCAAACTGTAACCCACTTAACAGCCATCTTTTATTAAAGCAAACCATGATCTCCGGCCACACTATACGGAAGAATGAGGCACAGGAGCCAACTCCAGGTTTAAGCACCCCGCCCCCACCTACATATTATACACTTGCAGAGCTCAAGTAATGATATGTAGGAGTTCGGGGAGTCTAGGTCAATGTGATGAAGCACCCCAGAGCAGGGCTGCTGTTAGCAACCATGGGGCCCCCATACAGCCAACCTGACACCCAACCCCCTGAAAAAAAGAAAAAAAAAAAAAAAAACACCACAGTTGACTATGCTTCAGTTATGAATGAACACAGTTAGTGATCGGTACTGTTCACACATTGTGTTCATTCAGAAAAGAAAGGGGCTGGTAAATGTGACATTTACTGGACCCTTCCCACACTCTCCATCCGGAAAGATCCTATTGTGTGCTTGTAGCTGCTGGTGGAAAGGAGTAAAGGAAAACTGGTGGCATTGTAGTGGGGGTACACAGGGGAGCCTGGGTTATAGGGGGAAATGAATGGTGCACTGGGAGGGTGATGGGTGCAAATTTGATCCCATGTATGGTTAGCTCTACAGCAGCTGAAAGGAGAAGACGCCAGCTTTCAGCTGCTGCAGAGAGCCATACAGGGGATCAGTTCCAGTAAATGCCTCCCTCGTTGTGCCAATCACCCTCCCTGCCCACATCTCATTCACCCAGCTGCCTGGACCCCCCTGCTGGCCTGGGCCCTGTACAGAAGAACTGGTGGTACCCACTTATCCACGGCCCTGCCCAAGGGGGTGTGCCCATGATGGCCTAAGGCCCAAAGAAGTGGTATGGAGAGAGGCTGCTCCTTTTATTTATTTTTTTTAAAACAAGCTAGGCACCATGGAGGAACTACGCACTGTATCCAAGCACCATGAGGAACTACGCACTGTATCCGAGCACCATGGAGGAACTACGCACTGTATCCGAGCACCATGGAGGAACTACGCACTGTATCCGAGCACCATGGAGGAACTACGCACTGTATCCGAGCACCATGGAGGAACTACGCACTGTATCCGAGCACCATGGAGGAACTACGCACTGTATCCGAGCACCATGGAGGAACTACGCACTGTATCCGAGCACCATGGAGGAACTACGCACTGTATCCGAGCACCATGGAGGAACTACGCACTGTATCCGAGCACCATGGAGGAACTACGCACTGTATCCGAGCACCATGGAGGAACTACGCACTGTATCCGAGCACCATGGAGGAACTACGCACTGTATCCGAGCACCATGGAGGAACTACGCACTGTATCCGAGCACCATGGAGGAACTACGCACTGTATCCGAGCACCATGGAGGAACTACGCACTGTATCCGAGCACCATGGAGGAACTACACACTGTATCCGAGCACCATGGAGGAACTACACACTGTATCCGAGCACCACAAAAAAAACGAATTCATTTTTTATATTCAAAGCAAACTCCCCCATCCATCCATGTCTCCATGCTTTATTTTGATGACAAATCACTTTGAAAATAACTTTGTATACAAGTTTTGGGCACATTTTAGACATTTTACCAAGGCGCCCCAGAAGAAACCTCAAGGCGCCCCGGTTGAGAAAGGCTGCTTTAAAACCAGGCAGCACAGTGGCTAAATGGTTAGCACTTCTGCCTGGCAGTACTCGGGTCGTTGGTTCGAATCCCAACCACAGCACCACCTGCCTGGAGTTTGCATGTTCTCCCTGTGCCTGCGTGGGTTTCCTCCAGGTACTCCAAGTTTCCTCCCACACTCCAAAGATATGCTGCTAGATTAATTGGCTCCTGTCTAAATTGGCCCAAGTATGTGTATGTATGAATGTGAGTTAGGGACCTTAGATTGTACGCTCCTTGAGGGTTAGGAACTGATGTGAATGTACAATAAATATGTAAAGCGTGGCATAAATTGATGGCGATATACAAGTACCTGTAATAAATAAATAAAATAACACTGCTTTGTGTTAAAAAAAAAAAAAGCAAATAAAATCCTCCTCTGTGCTTATTCCCATGACATGCATCTCTGGCAGCACAGTGGCTAAATGGTTAGCACTTCCGTCTGGCAGTACTAGGGTCGTTGGTTCAAATCCCAACCACGGCATCACCTGCCTGGAGTTTGCATGTTCTCCCTATACCTGCGTGGGTTTCCTCCGGGTACTCCGGTTTCCTCCCACACCCAAAGACATGCTGGTAGGTGAATTGGCTCCTGTCTAAATTGTCCCTAGTATGTGTATGTATGAATGTGAGTTAGGGACCTTAGATTGTACGCCCCTTGAGGGTTAGGGACCTTAGATTGTACGCCCCTTGAGGGTTAGGGACCTTAGATTGTACGCCCCTTGAGGGTTAGGGACCTTAGATTGTACACCCCTTGAGAGTTAGGGACCTTAGATTGTACGCCCCTTGAGGGTTAGGGACCTTAGATTGTACGCCCCTTGAGGGTTAGGGACTGATGTGAATGTACAATATATATGTAAAGTGCTGCGTAAAATTGACGGCGATATATAAGTACATGAAATAAATAAATCTCAGATCCTGAAAGCATAAACCCTCCTGATGGGTTAATATGCAAGCTTCATTCATGGGGGGGGGGGGTAACTGACCTTTTAACCCTTTCACCCTGCCGCTTGTCTCTGAACTGGTTTATATGGCATATGTCGCCTTCCTGTAATTCTCTGAGCATCAGATAATCAGCTCGATCCAGCTCTGTGTCTCCTATAATCCACATTAGTCTAATAAAATCCTGGCCGGGTACTCGGTGGGAAGATGGGGTTAGTCACATGTAAAGCTTCATCCATAACAGCTGCTGTCAGGACCAGGAACACAAGGCCTCGGGGCGGACTCCTAATGCCAAGCCAATGGCTCCCTACTGAGTGCTGCCAAAAAGCCTCATGTTACCAATTCACGCCAATGTATAAGAAGAGGAAAGGATGGGGCTGTGTGTGATCAATCATGTGACAAATACTAGCCTCTAGCAACGGGAGAACAATGTAAAGTACAGGAGAACGGCTTAACTGCAAAAAAATTATCCGGACCAATAAAGGGCGCTCTGCACAATGGCTGTCATAGTTGCACGTATCAGCCGGTATTACAATGGGATGTTGTGATTACTCAGCTATTTAGGCGAGACAATATCCATTTGCTGCATAATTCTTCAAAGACACATAAGCTTCCTAATTGGCTTGCTTAAGATCAATTAGAGATCCGACTCACTAACATGACAGCGGAACCGGTGACTGGCTTAGATACGGCATTTAATTACATACAGAAGATTCAAAAACAATCGGCTAAGTGAAGTCTAGGTTGCAGCTTTGAAATAATGGTTTTGTAAATTCTGATTTAACAATTAAAAAAAAAAAAAAAAAAAAAAATCACAGATCATCTCGGTTACATCTTCTTCTGAAATCTACAAGTTATATATATTTTTACGGCTCTCTTAAAAGGATAAGTTAACCTTTAAAAATAAATAAAAATGCACTTTTTTTTTGTAACCTGCAAAAAAAATAAAGGAATGTGCCAGCGATCAGCAGATCGTGGGTGCTATGCAGGACTCCTGCAGACTGTCGGTTTAATCAGTGGTGTATTTAGGTTTTGTGCTGCCCTAGGCAACACAAAGATTGCCTGCCCCCCACAGACATGAACCAACACCCCTCCCGTGGAGAGAGTCTGACATTGACCAACAACACCCCCTGCCCCCCACCTGGGAGAGCTTTCCAGTAAGCTGCAGTGGCACGGCCTTAGAATCATGTAGGCACCATCAGATGGCATGCAATCAGCGACATCTAAATGAACCCCCCAGCAACCCTCAGGAGGAAACCCTCGGTGGAGAATGTCTACCCTAATATAATCTACTTCAGTTGCCTCCATATGTGTGCTGCATGAAGTAGGTGCAGATAACACAGGGAGCACAGGGAGTCTCCTTCTGCTCTTTCAGTATCCAGTCAACAGGATGGGGGTATAGAGAGGCTACCATTGCGTTCCTTTGCTGTGTATGCTGCCATCCACCCGAATGTCCTGTGTGATGGAGCTGTATAAAATCTCACAACTGGATACACAATAAAAAATCTTTGCAGGCAACACGGCTCCCATAGAACGCTCATCTGCCACATAATCGATTCTTACGTTTTCATAATTTACCTAGAATGACCAATTGCCAATGATAATGCACAATTTTACTAGGTGGGTAAGAGCATTTTTTTGCACATAAAAATATGAAGAGACGGGAATGCTAACAATGGTTCCTGCAAATCCCCATACCGCCATTTTTTTTTAGTTTTATACTGTGTCACCAAATCTTGTCTCCAAATATCACCCAAACCACCGTCCTCTCCGCTCCTCCCACGACCTCCTACTCTCTCACTCCCTTGTCTCCTCCCATGCTCGTCTCCAGGACTTCTCCAGAGCCTCCCCATCCTCTGGAACTCTACCCAAATCTATCCGACTATCACCTACTCTGCCCACTTTTATGTGATCTCTGAAAACCTTCTTCAGGGAGCCCAACCTGCCTTCAGCTAATAACGGAATCATCTATTTCTCCTACCAGTCCATCCCCCACAGTTGTTACCTTTTTGTACCACTAGCCCTTTCCTCTTAGATTGTAAGCTCCCAGGATCAGGGCCCTCCTATCCCTCTTATATTGAACTGTATTGTCTCCCGTTATATTGTAAATCGCTGAGCAAACTGTTGGCGCCATAAATCCTGTATAATAATAATAATAATAAATAATAATAATGTCTGCTCCTAGCGGTTCACTCATAGGCAGGTTTTATACATTACAAAAGGGGATACATTGCAGCCTCACAAACACTTACCTCCAGAAAGTCTTCTTCTTCGCTTGGCAGGACCTTTCCCTTCTGCCATCGCTGAAGAAACCACCTGAGCTTCATGAAGGTCAGAAAGAAGCTCTGCTTGAACTGCTGCACTTCTTGCAGGAGGACGTTCTTCTCCTGGCTCCAGAACTTTTGCTCCAGTCTCCTCTCTAGGCTCAGGCTCTGCAGCTCAAAGTCTCGTCTTAAGAGCAGTTTCTGCTGATCCTCCTTCAGCTGGAAGGAAATGTAGAATGGATATCAGTGCAGAAGTCAGAATAAAAAGCAACTCATGCATGCCATTACTTTGGTATTCCTATTGGCCAATGCATAGTATGGAAGTTCAGATTTAGACATGGTCTGTTCAGGAATGATGTAATGCCAGTAGGAAAGGAGTTCCAGGTATGCATACTTTGGTCTAGCTTCATACTATACCAGTCCAATGGCCCTGGAACCTGGAAATCAGTTAGGTAGACACCGCTACTCTAGTGATCTCCACTAGCTTCAGGGTCATGTATTTTTTTTTTTTATTTTATAAATCTGGTCACATGATTCAGCAGCTCCATCTCCCTGTGTAAGGGAGCACTGGACAACAGCTGTGAAATTCCAGAGCTCATTAGTCCCATGGCTCATTCGTTGTCAGCTGTGAAATTCCAGAGCTCTTCAGTCCCATCTATGCGGCCATGCGGGCCGCGTTTTGCAGGGGCATGAGAGCCCATTCATTTGAATGGACTCCCGTGCCCGTGACACGCAGGGAAAGAGGTCCCTGCACTTCTTTGGAAAACGCAGCACGCACTGGAACCTCAGTTCCCAGTACGGTTGCGTTTTCCAGTGCGGGCGGCGTGCCATTAGAACTAATGGCACCCACCCGAGGGTTCGCACTTCTCTATGCGGGTGGTGCGGCTGCACGGATTTCCGTGCGGATCCGCAGCGGCACCACCTGCACAGATGTGAACCTAGGGTAAGAGCACTGGACAACAGCTGTGAAATTCCAGAGCTCTTCAGTCCCACGGCTCATTCGTTGTCAGCTGTGAAATTCCAGAGCTGGTCAGTCACGGCTCATTCGTTGTCAGCTGTGAAATTCTCTTCATTCCATGGCTCATTCATTGTCGGCGCGCCCTCCTCTCCCCTGCAGCAGCCACTCTGACACACGCAGAGTTATGCTGGTTAGGTAGGAGGACGGGGTTAATAGAGTTAGCATTATCTTCCATCTCCAAGTGCTGACATTTTTTTTGGTGGGTTAAAGTTCTACTTTGAAATTTACTTGGTGATCCTGAGAGGAACTTGGCAGGTGAATAAAAGCTATTTGTTGTGTTGCAACACTGACACCCCTGTACTGAAGCAACGCGGTCAAGCCGTAAGCAGCGTTGTCAAGCTTGCATGTTTAACTAAAACACTGTCCTCATTGTCCTGTCCTCATCTCACCTAAATAGGAACTCCATCCTACTGCTGGATCCACTGGCTATCCCGCTTCAGTCGATCCTGAATACGGCTGCCAGACTCATTCACCTTTCCAACCGCTCCATCTCCGCCACCCCCCTCTGCCAATCCCTCCACTGGCTTCCGATTGCGCAATGGATCAAATTCAAAATCCTAACATTGACGTACAAAGCCGTCCACCATACTGCCCTGAACTACATCACCGACCTAATATCCAAGTACCACCCAACACGCACACTCCGCTCCTCACAAGACCTCCTTCTCTCTAGTTCCCTGGTCTCCTCCTCCCATGCCCGCCTCCAGGACCTCTCCAGGGTGTCACCCATCCTCTGGAACTCCCTGCCCCAACCCATCAGACTATCACCTACTCTCCTCTCCTTTAGGCGCACCCTGAAAACCCACCTCTTCAGGGAAGCCTACCCCACCCCCTGCTAATTGCCAACCTCCTCCACTCTTCCTACCACCCCATCCCCCACATCTATCTCCTCCTGTGCCACCATCCCCTCCCTCCTAGATTGTAAGCTCCAAGGAGCAGGGCCCTCAATCCCCTCATGTTTTCACAATGTATTGGTCTGTCACATGTTCTGTCCCCCTTTGTAATGTACAGCGCTGAGCGAACTATTGGCGCTTTATAAATACTGTATAATAATAATAATAATAATACTGCTGCTGAAAGTGGTTGTGGATCTCGCAGCCTTTTATATTCCACAGTGCTATCTGGACTCCAGCGCGGGTCTTGTATGTGTATTTCTGTGCTTGCTGTGTGTTGTTCCCCTATCTTTTGTATCACACAATTTGTATGTTTCTGAACATGCCTAATAAAATCTTTGGTAAAAGAAGTACACAGAGTTGGGATCTTCTTTACCAGTACCTGTATTTCTTGATATCACACACGTGGAGATAATAAGGAAAGCACAATGAAGATTTAACGCTGTGATAAATGGTGGCAGAGAATAAATCGCACTTCATTAGCGCCACATAATCGAATGTGAGAACCGCACTTCATATAAACACATTTTGATGTGTTTAATTAAAGGACCAGTTGTCCTAAAAAAAAAACACACACCACAACACAATGCTACAGGTTTGGACTAGAGCCTACAAACACATTCAAGAATAAATGCAAGAGGCTGCAAACCTGTACATGTGACATGTATATTAAAAAAAACGTAGTTGCCCAGGCTGTAGCTCTGTGTTTGCTGCCATTTCTGACTTAAAGGATAGGTTCACCTTTTGATCAAAAATAATAAATGCACATTTTTTTTTTCTTTGGTTGCAGGAGCCTGTGAAGCACTGCAGAGTGATCAGACCTGTCAGTATATCTGCTTGTCCTTGTACGGGGAACTCCTCTTCGTACTGCTGTCACGCTGGGACGGGGAGGTGGTTTGGGCAGAGGCTGCAGCAGTGGGAACATGTTACATGTTCCAGGACGTTGGATGACGAAACGCGTAGGGTAGGACCTTGGAGGTGACGTCACCACATGTGGGTGAGCTGCCGATATCTATTGGAACCGGAGCAAACCTTTGATCCTTAGTGTTATATGCATTTTGTGCTAGTGTCGGCTTAGTCACTGTTAAATGCGAGTGTATTGGATACCTTTTTTACTGAATACATTTTGGTTGCAGGAGTCTGTAAAAGCACTGCAGAGTGATCAGACCTGTCAGGATATCTGCTTGTCCTTGTACCGGGAACTCCTCCTCGTACTGCTGTCAGGCTGGGACAGGGAGGTGGTTTGGGCAGAGGCTCCAGCAGTGGGAACATGTTACATGTTCCAGGACGTTGGATGACGAAACGCGTAGGGCGCAGCCTTGGAGATGACGTCACCACATGTGGGTGAGCTGCCGATGTCCTATTGGAACCAGAGCAAACCTTTGACCCTTACTGCTATATGCATTTTGTGCTAGTGTCGGCTTTGACACTGGTAAATGTGAGTGTATTGGATACCTTTTTTACTGAATACATTTTGGTTGCAGGAGTCTGTAAAGCACTGCAGAGTGATCAGACCTGTCAGGATATCTGCTTGTCCTTGTATGGGGAACTCCTCCTCGTACTGCTGTCACGCTGGTATGGGGAGGTTGTTTGGGCAGAGGCTGCAGCAGTGGAAATATGTTACATGTTCCAAGACGTCGGATGACGAAACGCGTAGGGCGCAGCCTTGGAGATGACGTCACCACATATGGCTGAGCTGCCGATGTCCTATTGGAACCAGAGCAAACCTTTGATCCTTAGTGCTATATGCATTTTTGTGCTAGTGTCAGCTTTGACACTGGTAAATGTGAGTGTATTGGATACTTTTTTTACTGAATAAATGCCTGGATGTTTTTACACTATGTGGATTCCTCTCTCTTCCTTTATGATCCCATTCTGAATATATGAAAAAGTCAACTGTCATTTGAAGGAGTTTCATCAGTTGGTGTGTGCCTCTGCAGATCGTTGCTCCCAGAATTTAAGCGCTTGTAGCTGGTTTATAATTTTACCAGCATGGAGCTCTGGTGAGTGTATTCATTTCATTCCGTGGTGGAGTCTCATGCTGTTATTTGGTTATATTACACAGAAGTTTATCATAATAATTAGTGAAGAAAATTTATTGATTTTTTTTTTTACATTATTATTTATATGGACACTTTTGTTGGACACTATTTGTGTATTCAAGTTAATTCACATCTTATTTTGTGTTTGTTTTGTTTGCTCTGTGTGGTATTATGTAGTGCATGATTTCAGATTTTATTTTGTGCACCAATATTAATCTGCTGAGCTCACATATTCAGAGATATATTTTTTTTGAGGAGCGCTGTCTTTAGTGATTTATTGTTTACAAAACAGGTGGAACATGTACCAAAGGTGAACATCCTTTAACCCCTTGGCGCCCCCTGGCCCTTTAAGAGTTCCAGAAGCCGGGACGGGGTTTTTAGGGTCATGTGACCGCCGTAATTCGCTGTCACATGATCGGGAAAGGTCCCATTCAAAAGTGCAGACCAGGACCTTTCTGAGAGTACCGAACGTGTGTGCTGGGAGCACGCAGGGCGCACGCTCTCAGCACATATGTGGTTTAACAGAACGCTCAGTGTCTAGGCCCAGACACCGGGAGGCCACACATTTGCGTTCGGCCAGCGCCAAGAGGTTAAGGATTAACTTCTCCCGTGAGGATACTCGGCAGCTGCTGCAGGTAGAAAGGACTCATTAACGCGGTTCCTCAGCCAGGCTTTCCAAAATTAAAATTCAGCAGCTACAAATAAGATTCCAGATTCCGGCGAAGTAGAAGAGGGTACCTTGAAAAGCTAGGTACTCGCTTCCCCCCCCCCAGCTCCCCCTTAAAAAAAAAAAATGTGAACTTCCCCTTTTCGGGACATCTCTCTCCAGTTCAGCAACATCTATAGGTCTGGTCCCTTCCCCAGCCTGACTGGACAGTGAAAGTAGAAGTAGCAGAATAAGTCCATCTCTGTCACTGTGCTCTCTCCTCCTATCACCAAGTTTCTGGTTGGCACAGAGCACCGCGGTGGCTAATTGAGCTGCCTCTGACAACTTGAGCTCAGCTCTACAGTAACTGCAATAAGCCAATAAAAGTCAAAATGCAAGTTCTTACACTGCTTGCAATAAAGAAAAAAAAAGTAAAAAAAGGAGTATCCATTAAAAAAACATCTGCCACTTTAGGACAATTTACACAAATTACAATTTTCAATGAATATTAAAGTGGTTGTAAACCTCAGATATGAAATATGAGCAAAGCATATCCCTGTATAGTGTGTACCTGTCTCAATCCTGAGCACTAAGTGTCATTCCTGTCTGCTTCCTCGTTCCTCTGCATAAATCACTTTCTGACAAGTTTTCCTGACACAGAGAAAAAATGCTGACGGGTGAGGAAGCTCCAGCAGATTGACAGCCTCAGCTCTGTTCCTGTGTTAAAGGGGTGTGTCCCTTCCCTCCAATCAGCTCTCACTGAGGTCTGCAGAATGTAACTTGAGCTCTCTCCGCCCCGTTTTCTGAACTCCCAGACAAGCTGTATAAATTCAGCACTTTGAATGGATGTAGAGAAGACTAGATAAACAGGTACAACTTATGTAGGAGGATTGGTTTCATCTCTGTGTCACCTGAGGCCAGTCACCTCACTGGGTAAATGGAAGGGCTTACAACCACTTTAAAATGTTCATTAGTTAAGAAATTATTCTCTATAGGATACAAAGGCAGCAGTTTAGAGAAGTGCTAAATACAGGGACCCCAACCTGGGCAACTTTCTGGTTGAAGGCCTCTTCGTCTTCCTTCCTTAACTGTCTCTCCTGTGACAGCTGCTCCTGCAGCCCCTGTATGGTCTCATTGGCTTCAGACAGCACCAGCTGCAGGTCTTTAATCTGTGAGAAAAAGAAAACACTGAAGATTAGTTTTTCTCATATGTTATTCTTGTCCCTGGCAGTGACTAGGTTCACTATGCGTGCTGTAAGATATGGTGAAGAAATAAATATAACAAAAGTATATTCACAGCGCAAAACCACACACCAAAAAAAAAAAAAAAAAAAAAAAAAAATTTTAAAATGGCCTAACAATAGCTTAATGAGTGAATAGAACATAACTCACATGAATAAATGGAACATGTATAGTGCTGCTGCCTTAAATAGTGAATAGTGGCGCACCGAAAATATAAAAATTCTGGTGCCGAAACCGAACATTCAAAATGCACTTGGCCGAAAACTAAAACCGAAAATGCGCAGTTTCCAAAAATGAAATACATATTTTTGGAAAAAAAATACACTTTGATTAACTCCTTCCCGCCGGCGCCTCCCAGGCCTTTAAGAGTTTCAGACGCCGGGAGGGAGTTGGGGCGTGGGATCACGTGACCGCCGTGACGCGTCGTCACAATGCTCGGGAAAGGTCACGATCAAAAGAGCAGACCGGACCTTTTTCCGTGAGTACCCGGACATGTGTGCTGGGAGCGCACTCTCAGCACATATGTTTTTTCTTACATTAACGCAACAAATGTGCGGCCGCTCGGCGTCTAGGCCCAGACGCTGGGAGGCCGCAAAAAAATTGTGTGCAGCCGGCGTTAAAGGGGTTAAAAAAAAAAACCCAACAGTTCCTCTCACTGTGGCAGGAGCTGGATGCCGCCAGTTGGGACTCCCCCTTCTGCCACCTGTAAAGTAATCCAGCAGCTGCTTTGCCGCTATGATTTACTTTTACGCGAAAGAAAATCACTGGGGCTAAAGAAAAACACCGGGATCATGGTTGAGACTACAACCATCATCCCGGTATTTTTCTTTAGCCCCAGTGATTTTCTTTCACGTAAACATAATCCGAGCGGCTGGTATAATGGCTTCCCTATGAGGATGTATGTAATATACATATACACACACACACACACATGTCACACACACACACACACATATATATATAATATATATATATATATACACATACACACACACACATATATATATATACATACACACACATATATATACACATATATATATATACAACAATCACACACAAAAAACAAAACACACAAACAAAACAAAAACACAACATAAACAAAAAAAAACCCACACACACAAAACACACCAAAAAAAATACACAAAAACCACACCACACACACAAAAAAAAAAACACACAAACCACACAAACCCCCCCAAACACCAACACACAATAAAAACACCACAAACAAAAACAACACACACACACACCACCCCCCACCCAAAACCCCAATACAAAATAACAAACACCACACAAACACACACACCCAACACACACACCACACACATCCCCCCCCTCCAAACAACCCCCCCCCAACAAAACAAACAAACACCCCCCAAAAAACAACACAAACACCCCACACACACACAAATATACAAAAATAAAACAACCAAAAAAAACACAAACCACACACCACAAAAACACAACACACACACACCACAACCCCACACACACAAAAAAACCCCCCCCCCACACCAAATATAAAAAAATAACAAAAAAAAAACAAAAACATACACACACACAACACAAACCAAAAAACAAAAAAACAACACAAAAAATAAAAAAAAAAACAACAAACACAAAAAAATAAACAAACACACACAACACAAACATATAAAAAACAAACACAAAACAATAACACACAACATATAAAAAAAACCAAACAACAACACAGCCCTACCCACACCGCCATTCACGGCTGCGCGGCTGTCAGTCACCGGGGTCCCGCCCAGTGATTGCCGAGCATCTCCGGGGAGGAGAAACTACGTAAACAAACAGTTCTCCTCCCTGTCAGCTCCTGCACGACCTAAAACACAACCGCTTTGTACAGGAACCTTTTCCATAGTCGCACCGTCACACTGATTAGGCCAGGCACCATTGAAAATAATGTGATTTCCCTTGTCATGCGATTCTGTGCGGCTCAGAAGTTGTGGAGCCAAGAATCTCAGAGGGTCAATTAAATGCTGTCATTTACTTCCCTGTCAACTGCCTGCCATCGCACATGGTCTTGTCACTCCTGAGATTGCAGATTGAAGAGACATTGCATGTCTTCTCTGCAATAAAAAAGCCTGCCTGCCTGCTCACAGGCAAGGAAACTTCAGTTCCGTTTTTATGCTCCTCCCTCCTTTCTTGGAGCCACTTTTGCCATCTTTGTTTTTAAAAAAAATTTCTGTGCATACTTTTTTCCCCATGGGTCATCCGGGGGGGGGGGGGGGGAAAGCATAAAAACGCTCAAGTGTGAAAGGAGGCCTTAATGACATAATGACCCGGTGCTACTATTCCTTGCAGCATTTTCTTGTAGCCCCAGGGCGGTTTGATGATGTAGCCCTCGGGGGTGGGTCCTTGATACCCTGGGCTCACAGAAGTGGACCGAATACCAATAACGCCTAGTACACACCGAGAGAATATTGGGCGAAAGATGGTACTTTTTTTTTTGCATGCTAGTCTCATGTCTTGAAAATGAAGGTTACTACAGTGATGAAAACTCTCGCAAGGCAGAACACAACTTCCTGCGATGATGTCATGTGTTGTGTTGTAATGGATTATTTCATTTCTGAGCATGCGTAGTCTTGGTCACTATATTTTTATTTTTTTTTTACGGGCAAATACTGTATTGATTGAAAGGAAAAAATCGCATGTTCTGTTATCTTAAGAGAAAAAATTTTCATGCTTGCCCTTTCGGATATTTTCACACGGTCTGCTCTTGAAAGCGGTGTACGAACGATCAGACCATCGTATATTCGCTCCAAAAGAGGTACCCCCCCCCCCCCCATCTGATTTTATCTTCATGTGCATCAGGTACGGTTAGGTCCATATATATTTGGACACAGGCACAATTACCAGACTTTCGGCTCTGTATGCCACCAGAATAATTTAAAACAAAACAATCCAAATGAATTTGAAATGCAGACTTTCAGCTTTAAGTCAGGGGTTGAACATAACTATCAAGTACAAATTTTAGGAACTGCAACCATTTTTATACACATTTTCAGGGGCTCAAATGTAATTGGACAAATGAATATAATCATAAATAAAATGTTAATTCGTAATATTTTGTTGAGAATCCTTTACTGGCAATGACTGCCTGAAGTCTGGAACCCGTGGACATTACCAAAGACTGGGTTTCCTCCTTTCTGATGCTTTGCCTAAAGTCTGGAACCCGTGGGACATTACCAAAGACTGGGTTTCCTCCTTTCTGATGCTTTGCCTGAAGTCTGGAACCCATGGACATGACCAAAGACTGGGTTTCCTCCTTTCTGATGCTTTGCCTGAAGTCTGGAACCCATGGACATGACCAAAGACTGGGTTTCCTCCTTTCTGATGCTTTGCTAGGCTCTAACTGCAGCTGTCTTCAGTTGTTCTTTGTTTGTGGGTCTTTCTGCCTTTAGTTTTGCCTTCAGCAAGTGAAATGCATGCTCAAGTGGGGTTGAGATCAGGTGATTGACTCGGCCATTGCAGAATATCCACTTCTTTTCCTTCAAAAGCTCCTGGGTTGCTTTTGCCAGTGTGTTTTGGATCACTGTCCATCTGTACTGTGAAGCACCGTTCAATCAGCTTTGCTGCATTTGGCTGAATCTGGGCTGACAGTATATCTGTAAACATTGCAGACTTCATCCGACTGCTTCTGTCTCATCATCAATAAACACCAATGACCCGGTGCCACTGGAAGCCATGCATGCCCATGCCATCACACTGCCTCCACCATGTGGTACAGATGATGTTGTGTGCTTTGGATCATGAGCTGTTCCAAGCCTTCTCCACACTTTTCTTCCCATCATTCTGGTACAGATTCATCTTAGTTTCATCCGTCCAAAGAATGCTTTTCCAGAACTGGTCCGGCTTTATAGATGTTTTTTGGCAAAGTCTAATCTGGCTTTTCTATTCTTCAGGCTTATGAATGGTTTGCACCTTGTGGTGAACCCTCTGTATTTGCTCTTGTGAAGTCTTCTCTTGATTGTAGACTGACAATGATACGCCCACCTCCTGGAGAGTGTCCTTCACTTGTCTGGATGTTGTGAATGGGTTTTTCTTTACCATAGAGAGGATCCTGCGATCATCCACCACGGTTATCTCCTGTGGACGTCCATGCCTTTTTATGTTGCTGAGCTCACCAGTGCGTTCTTCTTTCCTCAGAATGGACCAAACTGTTGATTTGGCCACTCCTAATGTTGCTGTGATCTCTCTGATGGATTTGTTTTGTTTTTGAAGCCTTACAATGGTCTGTTTCACATTGCGTGGACAGCTCCTTTGAACGCATGATGTGGGGTCACAGCAATAGATTCCAAATGCAAATACCACATTTAGAATTAACTCCAGACCTTTTACCTGCTTAATTGATGAAATAACGAAGGAGTAGCCCACACCTGGCCGTGAAACAGCTTTTGAGTCAATTGTCCAATTACTTTTGGTCCTTTGAAAAAGGGGGGATGGTTACTCTTAAGAGCTGTAATTCCTAAACCCTTCCTCCAATTTGGATGTACATACCCTCAAATTAAACCTGTGAGAGTGCGCACTTTCAGCCCATATCCATTATATGACTATAGCTTGAATATGTTTTGGTAATGACCTGAAAAAATCTCAAATTGTGCCTGTGTCCAAATATATATGGACCCAACTGTAGAATACTAAAGACCACTTACAACTGCTCTCCCTCCCTGTGCAGTGTGACTGGTCTCTGTCCCCTCCTGTAGTTTTCTGCAGGCAGTCTGCAGTAAGTGGGACTGCTGAGTCCCTCCTACAGGTCTGCTCTCTACAAACACTATGCACAGAACAGTAATAATCTCAATGTAGCTTTTGCAAGATAATATCTGGGTTTCCCATTGCCCAACAAACAAAATTCAAAATATTAACATCAATATACAAAGCCATTTACAACTTTGCGCCAAAGAATTTAGAAAGTGATGTACTGTATTTTCGGACGACTACTGTACTGATTAACCACTTTCACTCCTGAGGATTTACTTCCGCCTTCCTGACCAGGCCATTTTTTGCGTTACTTTAACTGACAAACTGCGCGGTCATGCAAGGCTACACCCAAATTAAATGTATGACCTTTTTTTCCCCACAAATTGAGCCTTTTTTTGGTGGTATTTGATCGCCTGTGCATTTTTAATTTTTTGCACTATAAGAAAAAAAAAAAACGACAATTTTGAGAAAAAAAATATATATATTTTTAACTTTTTTCTATTAAACATATCCGGTAAAAAAAAAAAATCAAAAAAAAAAAATCAAATTTCACCATAAATTTAGGCCAAAATGTATTCTGCTTCGTGTCTTTGCAAAAAAAAAAAAAAATCCCAATACGTGTAAATTAATTGGTTTACGTGAAAGTTATAGAATTTACAAATGGCGGTATAGATATTGGCATTTATTTTTGTATTAGTAATGGTGGCGATCAGCGACTTATAGCGGGACTGCAGCAGGCATTCTGACACTGGGGGGAACTGACACCAACATAGTGATCAATGCTAAAAAAAAAAAAAAAAAAAAAAAAAAAAAACTGACACTGTACTAATAGCACTAGACAGGAAGTGGTTAACATGAGGGTTGATCAAAGGGTTAACTGTGTGCAGAGGAATACATAGCAGCATATCCTTGTTGGAAGGAGAGAGATCAGCTTTCCATGACTATCGGCGAGTGCCAGAAGGGGAATCTCCGTCCGGGACCCGGTGATTGACATCCGTAGCTGCCTGTGTGCGGTTTCACCGTAAGCTCTGTGTGTGCGCGCTTCACGGTAATCACACTGCTCTGGATGGCTGTGCTGTGCACAGCCATCCAAAACAGTGTGCAGGAGCTGACAGGGAGGAGAACTGTATTGTTTACATAGTTCTCCTCCCTGGGGATGCTCGGCAATCACCGGGCGGGACCCGGTGACTGACAGCTGCAGCCGTGAATGGCGGTGTGGGTAGGGCGCGCCCGCCCCCTACGTGGAAAATGCAAAATCACGTATATATACACACGTGATTTTGCACACCCGTGCAGCCCTGTAGCAGTATAATCAGCCATAGATCTGGTATCAAATGAGAAAACGTTTTGCGCTTGTCCCTTTGGATATGGTCGCATAAATTGTCGTGATTGGCTCTGGAAAGCTGCGTACCAACGATCCGATTATCAGACAATTGGTCCTTGTACTAAACATTTTCGTATGATTTTCATATTGTATACGGGACATTAGTCACAAAAAAAACAACAAAAAAACCCAAAACAAAACAAAAAAATTAAAAAAAATTAAAATGCATCATTTTTCAACTTGGCCTCTATCTGCACTACTTTCATAAGACAGTTTGCTGAATTTTTTTTTTTTTTTTTTACAAATAAATCCATCCCATTTGTCCACCGATATAAAATACATGCAAAAATGATATTGACAAACATTGCATCGTTTTAAAGTCTTACTACTGGTGAATTGTTTATGGAGGGCGGGGAAAAAAAGAAAAAAAAAAAAAAAAAGGCAGACCTACTGAATGATGCGACAAGGAAAGAGTTAATCGGCTCTGCGATTGGTCCAGCTCTCCTTACAGAGCTTCGGATAGTAACAAGGTTGCTAGGCAACCGCAAAAGAGTTGCTAGGCTGTACAACATCCGCCGTGGCCAATAGGCAATAGACTTGCGCTGACAGCGTTCCATTTGGCCTTTGTGTATCGCTGTTGCTGAGCAGAGAAAGGAGTGGATGTTTTCTACGAACTATTTAAAGCAGCGATTACGTATGCAGGAGCCGGGATGGTGAACTCCAGCGTGAAGTCGGTGCAACAGCAGCAAATGAAGCAGAAGCCAGCATCCTTTAATGCCGATTATTATACTGATGGAAAAATAAAGTACTCCGGGGAAAACCTGATCTTATAGCTCGGCATTACATGGATAAAATAAAGCCTCCTTCGTTAGGGCCAGGGGACACCAGGGACGGTAGGACTGCATTGGGCGGCTATTCCCCAGCGCAGTCCCACCACAAGACAAGGCCTAATGCCCCATTCTCCTACCTGGCCGGTTTACACTACTACTGTTTTTTTTTAAGTGCAACACAACGCAATCAGCTGCCTAAACCCAATATGGCCAATAGGTCTTCAAGAAATGTCAAGTTTAAAAAAGAAAAAAAAAAAAAAAAAAAAAAAAAAATGGCCACAGTCAGTGCTACTTCCATCAACCTTCCTCCAACCCCCCAGTCTTGGTTTTGCCAACTATACTCTCCCATTTGCGGTTGGTTTGCCACAGCAGATCCACCGGAAGATCCCTTCCTGCAACCTTTTGGGAAGGTCGCAGGACCGTTCACGAAGCGCAGCGTGGCTGGTGCATGCGCAGGGGGGAGGTTGGCTGTGAAGCCGCAAAGCTTCACAGCCGGTTTCCCTTAGGAAACCTGCTGATGCCGGGGACCCGAAGAACGGCAAAGAACCGGTTCAGGTGAGGAGAGGGCTGGGTCCCTGGACAGGTAAGCATTCTTTTAACAAAGGTCAGCAGCTACAGTATTTGTAGCTTCTGACTTTTAATTTTTTTTTCTTTGGGGAGACTGAAGCTCCTCTTTAATTGCATGGGTCCTCTAGCTGAACCCCCCCCCCCCCCCCCCAAGGTTCGTCCACTTAGCAGGGGGCGATGGCAACTGAGCCTAACTTTAGTAATACCCACAATCGGGCTTCTGTCTGGGGAGAAGCAGAGAAGTTGGAAAGCAGATAAAGAAAAAATGTTTCTGGACATTTCATTCAGGTTCCATTTGAGTGACTGTTTCACACTTAAAGCAGAACTTTGCTCTTAATAAACATTAACCTATTTTTTTTTTATTTTTATTTTCTAGGGGAGGGGAAAAAAACTCCCCTTTAATTGCATGAGTCCTCTAGCTGATACCCCACTCCTCCAGGCTCGTTCACTTAGCAGGGGGCGGTGGCAACTGAGCCCAACTTTAGTAATGCCCACAACCGGGCTTCTGTCAGGGGAGAAGCAGAGAAGTCGGACAGCAGATAAAGAAAAAATAATATGTTTCTGGACATTTCATTTAGGTTCCATTTGGCTGTTTCACACTTAAAGCAGAACTTCGCTCTCACTAAACATTAACCATTTTTTTAGGGGAGAATGAAACTCCCCTTTAATTGCAGGAGTCCTCAAGCTGATACCCACCTCCTCCAGGCTCACTCACTGGCAACTGAGCCCAACTTTGGAAATGCCTACAAATCGGGCTTCTGTCAGGGGAGAAGACGTGAAGTTGGAAAGCAGATAAAAAGGAAATTTTTCTTGATATTTTAATAAGGTTCCATTTAAGTGGCTATTTCACACCTTAAGTGGAACTTCACTCCCTCAGTCAACATTGACATGTTTAATCCTTATGCTGCGAACATTAGTTTATAGAGATAGGAAAGTATATCATATTTACTTATTTTAAACTTTTTTTTTTTTTACATTTCTTCAGTTACTTCTTGGTTTCCAGTCCTAGGCAAATAATGTCATGCATCCCAGAGGGTTGCGCAAACCCTCCTGCCTGAGCTAAGGGGCAGATGGATTCCAGGAAGTAAATGCTACATGAATGATTTGCCCTTATGCAAGATGGCCACAGACAGAAATGCTAGGGGGAGTGTTTTTCAAAGTGATTTCTCAGCAATATAAAGCATGGACACATGGATGGATAGGGGAGTTTGCTTTGAACATCAGCGTAGTTCCGCTTTAAGTGTTCCGTTGCAGTGATTTATTACATACATTAACACACATTGAATCCAGGCAGCCCAGTTATTATGAATGGGATACCAATGTTAATACACATTGAATCCAGGCAGCCCAGTTATTATGAATGGGATACCAATGTTAATACACATTGAATCCAGGCAGCCCAGTTATTATGAATGGGACACCAATGTACCACAACAGATGGAAAAAAAAGTACATTACACTTTTATCGCAATGTATTATATATGTCTTTTGATGCACTGTGGTGAGCTGAGCTCCCATTTATGATGAATGAGATCAACATTTTTTCAAAGTGAGGGATATACTTGTTATTTCATGATCTAAAACTTAACTGCAGTACAAGAGGGTTTACTTCTTTTTTCAGGCAGATAAAGAATGCACCGTCACCTACCTCTGCTGCATAGGACTCGTTGTCTTCAGGCTGATAGGTCTTATAGCTTCTCTTCTCGTGTGGTCAGTATTGTGGTCCCCATCCATCTTCTCCCAGCCAGATGTCTCCTTCTCTCGACAGTTCCTACACTCGGGCTGCTGCATGCATGGGCGAGTAATGAAGAACAGAACGAGAAAGGCCAAGGGAAGGAATAAAAGAAGGAACAAAGTAGAAAAGAATAAAAAAAAAAAAAAAAAAGACGCAAAATGAAATAAAAGGGTCCCAAATGGTAAAAAGGACAAAATAAAGGTTTACGGAGAAAGAAAAATTACATAATAAAAAAAAGGAGGAAAACAAAGAAGAGTTTGGCGACGGAGGAGAAAGACAAGGTGGAGAGGAAAAGAAAACACGCAATGAGTAGACACGTGGGCTGGGGGGTTGTTAAGGGAGAGAAAAGACAGGAAGAGAAAAAGAAGGGAAGAAGATGTGCAAACACCGGTTATGGTGCCCATGCAGTGAACAGGGGAGCGAGGTTTAGGGTTGGGGGGGGGGGGGGGGGGGTGGCGCAGGAAGTACAGGAATATTAGCTTTACAATCTGGCATCATGCAGGTAAATAGAACTCTGGGGAAAAGGAGCATGCTGTCTATTGACCTGTTTACCAATTTCTCCTCGCTAGTCCTGCAACTATCACCAATACCTATGTACACTATGTGGCCAAAAGCATGTGCATACCCCGCCAAATTATTGAATTCAGGTGTCCTCGGTGGGATAATGCTACAGTGTACAACGAAATGTAAAAAAATTGTGCACTTCCAAAATTTATGGCAACAATTTGCGGAAGGCTCTTTTCTGTGCCAGCATGATTAAGCAGAACGCCGACTCAACACGACTAGGTTTAGAGGAAGTTGAGTGGCCTGCATAGAGCCAGGTGGTCTCATCCAACATGAGTACCGGATCTCACAAAGGCCGTTTTGATTGAAGACACTCCAAAATCTTATGGAAAGCCTTCCCAAAAAGAGAGGATGAAGGTAAAGCTGCAAGGAATGTCCAACAAGCACATACAGATGTGGTGGTCAGGTGTCCACAAACCTTTGGCCATTTGGTGTATCAAAAATATAACTTTACCCTAAAGACAACCAGTCGGGACTGTGGGTATAAAAATATATAAACTTAAGGCATATCTATTTTTGGCTACAGCTCCGCTGGCGAGAATCATCCATTCCTCCTGGTGGCCATTCAATATGTCAGTCATTTAAAATGCTGTCCGAGAGCCGAGGCCTAAGAGTATCATCATCTTTATAAGCCAGGAAACATGGATTTAGTCTCACTTTGTTTCTTGGCACTTTGCTTCCCTAACTTCTGGGCTAAACAAACTCTCATTCCCCGGTCCAATAAGAACCCTTTAAAGGTGAACCAGTGCCCTGCCTATGAAGTACAAAGCAATAGTTCAGTTTAATGCTGGCACTATGAACGGCACTTATCTTCTCATTCCTCAGCCAACAGAAGTGAGAGGAAGCCCAGTGTAAGCTCTAAAACTGGTCATAGATGGTCTGAATCTTGTCCGGTTCAGCAGGGACCGGCTAACAACTAAACCATCTATGAGCAGGCTGATTGTACCAAATTCAATTGTTGTACGATTTGGGTACAACCAGCCTGTGGGACTTTAAATGTGATTATGGCCAGTGGCTATAGCCGCTAGCAATAATCACTGTATTCTCACGGCAGGGTCAGCACCACTCAAAACCAAAGATGGTCTGAATCTCGTCCAGTTCAGCAGGGACTGGCAAACATCTAAACCATCTATGAGCAGGCCGATTGTACTCCATTCGTTATATGATTTGGGTACAACCAGCCTGTGGGACTTTCATGTGATTATGGCCAGTGGCAATAGCCGCTAGCAATAATCACTGTATTCTCACGGCAGGGTCAGCACCACTCAAAACCACAGCCATAGATGGTCTGAATCTTGTCCAGTTCAGCACGGACCGGCAAACATCTGAACCATCTATGAGCAGGCCGATTGTACCCAATTCAATTGTTGTACGATTTGGGTACAACCAGCCTGTGGGACTTTTCATGTGATTATGGCCAGTGGCTATAGCCGCTAGCAATAATCACTGTACTCTCACGGCAGGATCGGCACCACTCGAGCCCCCCCCCCAGCTGGGAAAACACAATAGCTCCACGGGAAGAATTCCTCCATCAACACTGACTGTGTTGTTGGGGAGAACTAACCAATTTTCTTGGTTGCAGGAAAGAAAATCGCATAGTCTATGGCCTGCTCCAGTCACGACCAGTAGACCACAAAGGGCTAAGAACCATCTGCTCAAATGTGACAGCTCTGGGTGTCCAAATGACCAACAACAAAAGCACCATGACCTTTACATGAGAGGTCAGGAGCGTCCGAGTTGGTCACATGCTCTGCCGTACCTGGAAGTATCAGATATTTTTCTTCACTCCAACAACAAATTAGAACAGCTGAGCAGTGAGGAAAGGTAAAGTGTTGTCAGTGGGGCCACAACAAAGCGAACCTGCTGCTTTGCTCTACATGGCACAAGCTGAGATTTCAGAGTTGTATATGGCTGTGGAAGCCATCCATGCTGGACAATCCTGAAGACACCTGAAGAACCTTCATATTCAAACATTTCTGGAGGTTGTTCAATTCCTGTGTCCTCACTTGTGCTGTAGCTTTTTCTCCGGCCGTCTACATCACTACTGTATAGAGACGTAGGAAACGGTAGAAGAACCCGGCACTGCATCGATTGTGAAGAGGCCATAGCTTTTCAAGAGAGGAAAGACTGGAAGAACAGTTGAGTATGAAGCCTCCACTGCAGGCCATGCTTACTTACATTGTTTTCTTACCAAGGAAAAAGGCGATACTGGAATATTCTCACTGGACAAGGGGATGGAAAATGAAGGAAGGGCACGAGGGACATTAAGCCCCAAGCAGCAAAGTGAAACCTAACTAAGGAAGACAAAGAGCACACACAAAACTTGCTACAGAAAGGTAATAATAGGTATCATGTAGCGCCCGCTCTTGGGCAGGATATCTACTTATAAATGTTTAAAAATAGAGGACTGGTTTTTGTTCTGGTGTGACGGTTTCTGTGCTGTCAAACGTCCGATCCCAACAGCACATGCGTTCTCTAAATTCCCGAGCTTGAAGAATGGTGTCAAATAGCAGAGCCCCTTAGGTGAGATGATGGCATTTACACTCCTTATGCAGAAGCCCAATTTCCACTGGTTCTCTGCAAGATTTCAGCTTGTGGAATCTTATAGCAGGGTATTGGAATATACAAGAACGAGGCTAGCGAAACAATGCCTCACACAAAAACAGACAATAATACCACATGATAAATGATAGGCTACAGCGAAATATTCTTAGCTTTTCAATCAGATATTATGGAAGGTACTGATAAACCTCCATATATATATATATATATATATATATATATATATATATATATATATATTATATATAATAAGCGTATATTGATTGGTTTGCACAAAAGTTATAGCGTCTACAAACTATGATATATATACTGTAATTTATTTTTATACTAGTAATGGCAGCGATCAGTGACTTATATCAGGACTGCAATATTGCCACGGACAAATCAGACACTAACTGACACTTTGTGGAAATCCGTGACACTAATATAGTGATCAGTGTTAAAAATATGCACTGTCACTGTATTAAACAGACCGGCTGGGAAGGAGTTAAACATCCAGGGCGATCAAAAGGTTTAATGGTGTGCCTAACCAGTGATTTTGTGTTTACTTTCAAGTGTTTTACTAAGGGGTGTGCTGTATTTTATTCCCTGCTTTGCACGGAAACAAAATCTAGCACATCCCCGCTGACAGGACGGAGCTCTGTATTGTTTACAGCTCTGTTCAGGGTGTCTCTTTACTGATCAGTGTCAGCGGTCATCCATTGGCTGCCACTCGCTAATTGGCTTCTGCTGTGACAAATCACAGCAGATGTGGTGCGCACGCATGCCCCTACGCGGAAGAGCGGAATCACATATATACACATGATGCTGCCCTGTAGCAGTTGCTATAGGGCGGTCGGCACTGGTTAAGTTGTAATCATTTTTCAATTTTTGTATGTTAAAGTGTTACTAAACCACAGACCCCTGCATTCACTATATCCGCTCTCCCCGGGCCCCGCATTCACTATATCTGCTCTCCCCGGACCCCGTATTCACTATATCCGCTCTCCCCGGACCCCGCATTCACTATAGCCGCTCTCCCCCGGACCCCGCATTCACTATAGCCGCTCTCCCCGGACCCCGCATTCACTATAGCCGCTACCGCTCTCCCCGGACCCCGCATTCACTATAGCCGCTCTCCCCGGACCCCGCATTCACTATAGCCGCTCTCCCCGGACCCCGCATTCACTATAGCCGCTCTCCCCGGACCCCACACATTCACTATAGCCGCTCTCCCCGGACCCCGCATTCACTATAGCCGCTCTCCCCAGACCCTGCATTCACTATATCTGGTCTCCCCGGACCCTGCATTCCTATCATCCGCTCTCCCCGGACCCTGCATTCACTATATCCGCTCTCCCCGGACCCCGCATTCACTATATCCGCTCTCCCCGGACCCCGCATTCACTATATCCGGTCTCCCCGGACCCCGCATTCCTATCATCCGGTCTCCCCGGACCCCGCATTCACTATATCCGCTCTCCCAGGACCCTGCATTCACTATATCCACTCTCCTCGGACCCCGTATTCACTATATCCGCTTTCCCCGGACCCTGCATTCACTATATCCACTCTCCCCGGACCCTGCATTCCTATCATCCGGGCTCCCCGGACCCTGCATTCACTATATCCTCACTCTCCCCGGACCCTGCATTCACTGTATCCGCTCTCCCAGGACCCTGCATTCACTATATCCACTCTCCTCGGACCCCGTATTCACTATATCCGCTTTCCCCGGACCCTGCATTCACTATATCCGGTCTCCCCGGACCCCGCATTCACTATATCCAGTCTCCCCGGACCCCGCATTCACTATATCCGCTCTCCCTGGACCCTGCATTCACTATATCCACTCTCCTCAGACCCCGCATTCACTATATCCGGTCTCCCCGGA